ATTGCACACTCCTAAAGATGCTGGGGATGTGAGTAGAAGTCTCAGTAGAATAGCATTCCTAGGTGCATCTATAAAATACTACCCAAAATGATAATCCAGGGCTTTACTCCATACCTACGGATGTCAGGGTGACAGCCACATATATTTAACCTTTAGAGCTTGAAGAAATCTAGAAATAGGAAAGATGCAGTTTTGTGTTGCTGGGAATCTCAAAATGTCAGGGTACAGGGCAGCATCTGCCTGGGATGAATTCATACCCTCAAGCCTTCCAGTCAAATGACAAGGTTTACTGTAACCCCAATAGAAGGGGTTTCCCAGTGAATCTACAACTTAATAGGGGTGAGACTGATGCTTATATACAAAAAGGACGTGGAAGGATCTTGATGGGATTAAGGAGTGGTAAGTAGTCTGGGGTGAGCCAGGTAAAACAGTGAAAGGAATAACAAATATGCTAATTAGGTGATCTTGGTGGGCTGGGGTAGGTCAGTTGCCTTGGGCAGAGGCACCAGTGATCTGGCCATCCACAAATTCTGGACTAACACTGCAATCCCTTAGCTCTAAAGATTCTGGGGTATATAGCTATCAGCAGATCACTGTAAAAGTGCCAGGATTATCTGGCCAGTGGGCTCCAGATGACTTGTGAAGCTCCAGGAGTATGATGGGGGAAAAGGTTACATATACAAACATATTGATGGAGTGCATTTAATATGTACATAGTTTCCTAAATACTGTATGTAGATGCAACATGATGCTATGTGTTGTATATGATCTATCTGTGTATTTTGTTCTGTATTACATATGTTCAATTGTTTCAGTCATATCTAACTCTTCATAACCCCATCTGGTGTTTTCTTGGCAAAGATACTAGAATGGTTTGCCATTTCCTTCTCCAGTTCCTTTTAGAGATAAAGAATTGAGGCAAACAGAGTAAAGTGGCTTGCCCAGGGTCACACAGTAAATGTCTGAGGCTAGATTTGAACTCAGATAAGTCTTTTTGATTACAAGTCCAGTGCTCTATCCATGGCCCACCTAGCTCCCCACAGAGGAGGTGTTTTTGTTCAGTTATGTCTGACTCTTAGTCACCCTGATGGGGTACCGGCCTAAGCCGAGACCTTTGCCCCTTACCCCAAAAAGAATTTGGGTCCCATTTGTCTAAGGGATTCTCCTTGAGTTCTCCCACTTGATCAAGGAGGTCTCTGGCATTTTCCCTGAGGCCATAATCCCATCAACAGGCCTTTTACTGTGGCTATGCCCAATCTCCCAAATCTCTGCTACCCTTAACCTAGCCTAGCCCTCCATTGTCTCACCTACCTATGGCACCTCACCCCCCACTTCCCACCCTTAATCCTAGCTGTGCTCCATTCTCCCTTGGCCATTTGGTCCAGGTTCCTGGCATTCTATTACCTCACAGTCCCCGAAGACTAGTTGGCCCACTCCTAAATCTCTCCCATAGTCTCTCTGTATATAAGGTCCATTTTGTCTCCATTAAGGTGCTCAGATTCTTATAATCTAGTCACTTCTTAGACTCCTTAAGAACCTAGCCAATAGCTCACAAATGTTCAGATTCCTTAAGAGTCTGGCCAATATAGAGGATCCTTAATAAACCTTGTCTTTGGCTGAAAGCAGCTTGGGTTGAAGGACCCAAATGTTGTGATCTCAGGGTCCCAGTACCCCTAAACCTCTAGACCTCATAAACTCCACTTTGGGTTTTCTTGGCAAAGATACTTGAATAGTTTGCCATTTCCTTCTCCAGCTCATTTTACAGTTGAGGAAACTGAGTCAGACAGAGTTTAAGTGACTTACCCAGGGTCATACAGCTCATAAGTTTCTAAGGCTGGATTTGAACTCAGGTCTCCCTGATTCCAGGCCCAACATTCCATCCACTGAGCCGCTTAGCTTCTATATTATGCATCTTTGCTTATCTCTGTCCTGGCATATATTATTTTCCTGCATGTAACCTAAATATTTGGTTACTGTTTATGAGCCTAACATGTGCTTTGTTTCATATATTGCACAAGACCTATGTATTTGATCTACGGTTAATTTTGTTAAATGTATGTGTAAAGGAGGTAAATAGCTGGCCTGGACAGCTCTGGCTATAGCACATCATCGAATGGAGTGTTGAGCTTATGACTTGGCTACTTCTAGAGAAAACATGTGACTCAACACTGAAAGGACTGGATGATTGACATCATGCAGTAAATACCAGGATCTCTCCCTCTCTCTTCCTTCAATTTAACATATGGCAAGTAATTCTTTCACCAATGAAGGGTTATGGAGGGACCCCTTTCCCTCACCCCACCAGAAAGCTGTAAGCACATGGTGGCTAAAGGACACCTGTTACTTTGGGTCGACCTGATCTTATAACACTGGGCCTTAGGCCCTTAGGTGCCTTTTTTTTCCCCCTTTGCTTTCTGTTTCTGTGCTATTAAATAGCAGTGCTAGAGAGGGACACATTCAGCCTTAGATGCAGCCATGTGAGTTAGAGAGGTCTGGGAGCCCTGGGTCCCTCAGCTGGATTTGACTAGTTGTGGCAGGAGTATTCTGTAATTAACTACCTATACCCTTCGGGCAGGAGGAGCCCTAAACTCCTGGTCTGGCTTCCAAGAAAGAAGAGTAGGACTTTGATGAGACAAAGCAGGGCTGCAGTGAAATGTAACTAACAGTCTCACAAACTTTATGTTTGGATGGTTTTAAGTCTCAGTCTCCCCAGAGACTATCCCCAGAGTAGTTTTAAATGACTGTCTCTTGCTTTGAGTCTTTGTTAATGGGAGTACTTGTGAGTTCTTTATGAGTCTACTTAGAATTTTCTTTTGTGTGGAGAAATAAATAGCTGTCCTATAGCAGATTATTATCATTTGCTGAATATCCTTCTACTCCTTTCCCTTTTGGTGGAACCTAAGGGGAGCCAAACTTAAGGTTTAGGTAATTTTCCTTGGGGCTGTAGTAACGTGGAGTTTGTAAAGAACCTGACTCTAGTGAAAAATCCTAGACACTTTATTTAGAGAGCTAGGCTCCCTTTCTCTGGATTGACCTTAGTCCATACAAATTGCTAAGAAAAGCAATTTGGTCCTGGGAAGGAGGTGATATTATTGTCCCAGTTTTACAGATGAGAAAACTGAGGCAAACAGAAGTTAAGTGACTTATCCTGGGTCTCACAGCTAATAAATGTCTAAGGTCAGATATGAAGTCAGGTCTTCCTTACTCCAGGTCCTATGCCCTCTAAATCTAGCTGCCTGGGTACAAAGCTGATACTGGAAAAAGAGAGAGAAGATAAATGCCCCAGACCACCCTGGCCTCAGCTTCAGCAATCTGATTCTTTTATTGTCATGACATATGCTTTCTTTTTGTTCTATGTATCTTTTTCTTTCTTTCTTTCTTTTTTTTGGTAAATGCTCATGTAATTAGAAGAAGGATATATTAACTGCTTACAACAGTGTCCCAAGAATTTGGGGTGAGCTATATGAGTACTGTATACAAATTGAAGACTGTTTATAATGTTCATATACAAACTATACCTGTATACAGGCTGTGATTTACTTGTGGGTGAATGTAGGTAGCACAGAGATGAGGAGAAACAGGGAAAGGGTCACTACCCCTTTATGGCCTTTTCCACTCTGCATGGGCCCCAGTGATTTGCATGTAACACGAGAAGAATAATGGGGGCTGGGTGAGAAGAGTCTCTTCAATATAGCTTGTCCAAAGGTCCTTTGTATTTTGCTAAGTGGATCTTAGACTAAGGTTATGAGGAGAATTAAAAGAAATTTTTTTAAAACCATAATTCAGATAAAGAGACTGACAGTCCACAAGACAGAGAAGAATCAGTTCAAAAAATATGCTTTAAAAAAAAAATGCCTAAAGGCTTCTCTAGCTAGCTGGCTTGGTACAGCTGCCTGAACGAGGTTACATCACAAAATAGCTAAAGATAGTGCCTGGTGCTCTCAGGCATAAGAACTGGAAGACCCCCTCCCTCTTCTGTGCTTCTCAGTAGTTGAAAACCAGCAGATGGTAGCAGAGAATAGCAACTTCAGTAGTGAAGATACCCAGCAGAGTGTATCCCTCAAGCACATTGTAGCAGAGGGAACAAAAAGAATAGCAGAGGACCCTAGGGTATGGAAGAAAGGAATTTACCAGATGACATTGGTGGCCCTGCAACGTTGAAGATATGAGTTGTTCTGGACACATATGTATCCCTTCATGTGTACTCCTGGGTAAGACATATTCCTTATGTGTATGCTCTTCCTTTATGATGCTGTGATAACATATGAGCGTATTCCCCTATATGTAGGTTGGGGAGACAGAAACATTTGATTTTTCTAAAGAACATTTGACCATTTGCCCAGCTCCTCTATTTCATAGACTAGCGACTCATATAAAGTAGATGCCTATCAATCGGGGAATGGCTGAGCAAATTGTGGTACATGAATGTAACGGAATATTAACTGTGTTGTAAGCAATGACAACTATAAATACAGAGAAACATGGAAAGAGCTACATGGCCTGATGCAGACTACAGTAAGAGGAGCCAAGAAAACAATATACAAAGTGACTATGAAAATGTAAACAGAAAGGACTACACGTAGAAAAATCAAAAGTGAATGTTGCAAAATAAAGAGCAAGTACGGCTGGAAAGAAGAGATGAGAAGATACCCCACACTTTGCAGAGGTGTGAAGTCCATGTGTTGCATATACTTTAGATTTTTTCCCATGTATGATCAGTTATGCTGATTTTTCCCCTTTTCTTTTTCCTTTCTTCTTTAACATTTTTTTTTTTTGGTTAGGCAATTGGGGTTAAGTGACTTGCACAGGGTCACACAGCTAGTAAGTATCAAGTATCTGAGGCCACATTTGAACTCAGGTCCTCCTGACTGCAGGGCCAGTGGTCTATTTACTATGCCACCTAGCTGCCTCTTTCCTCTTTTTTAAAATTAAAAAAAAATACTATTTGTTATATGTGTAAACCCAGCCCCAAAGGCTGTTGGTATGGGACTCACTCTTCATTGGTAGAGGTCAATTTCATATCTTCATGGGGGAGGAAAAGAGCTGATAAGAGGAAAAGAGAGGGATTCATTCTCTTCTGTTTCTTTGGGCCCTTCTGGCTTCCAGCTTTGAGAGAAAAGACAGACAGAGACAACTACAATTCAAGTTGCTGAAAAGAGAAAAAGACTCTAGAAAAATGACTACATGAGAGGAGTTGGCAATTTCCATCATGCCCCTATACCCAGCTTGCTACACTACAGACTTCAGGGAACTTCCCCTTTGAGAAATTTGGGACTCTCTGGGCTCATCTGACTTACCTTGATTGCAGTGGGAAAGTTCCTTCACTCTGTGATGTCTGGTATACATTCTTTTATATATAGGTTCCCAGATTTCTGTTTTGCTATGTGTGTTCATTGTGGACCTGTTATTTGCTGGGAAGAAAGTAAAGCCTAGATGTAAAGCACATATAAAGCTTTTCCCCATCAAGAAATAGCAATCAAGGGGGCAGCTAGGTGGTGCAGTGGATAGAGCTCCAGCCCTGGTGTCAGGAGAACCTGAGCTCAAATCTGGCCTCAGACACTTGACACTTACTAGCTGTGTGACCCTGGGCAAGTCACTTAACCCCGACTGCCTCACCAAAAAAAGAAATAGCAATCAAGAGTTTAGCTTGAACCTGCAAACTATATCTCCTAGGTTTAGGTGTCAAACATGTGGCTGGACCAGATTAAAATATAATTGGGAAATATTTAACAAAATAAATAGACAGGTAACATTACATTTCAAATTGTCAGTATGTAGCCTGCAAAGATCTTTATTCAGTAGCCTGTTTCTATTTGTTTTTTTTAAAAGGTTTATATTTGTCTTAAAAAAAATCACCACAGTTTCCCCCAGTATCCCTTCCCTTGCTCCTCTCACTGCCCTAAAATAATATTTTAAGAGATCATGTAGGTATAATTCTAACCCCGTATCTGTCTTTGAAGAGGGTAAAGAGGTTGCCTCTGGCCTCAACCTCTTGCTTCCCTTCCTGGCAGGCATTAAAGTCTCCCTTGGAGAAGGGAGTGGTGGGGAAAAGAGGTTAGAGATGTCTATTCTGCCTCTCTTCAAGCCACACCTCCATGGTACATGTAGGGGATAGCCTCATCACATATATGATGGCTCTCTGGTAGGGGAAAGAGGATATAAAAAATATAAGACATCAATAAAAACTTATTTAAAAAAAAGCAATCTAGTATCTGCTCATTACATCCAGGATCAAACATAAAATCCTTTGGTTTTTAAAGCCCTTCATAACCTGGTCCCTTCCTACCTTTCCAGTCTTCTCATACCTTACTCCTTTCCATCTACACTACTATCTACTGACATTGGGTTCCATGCTGTTCCTCGAAAAAGATGTTCCTCAAAAAAGATATTCCATCTCCACCTCTGATTTTTCACTGATTATTCTTCCCCCATTAGATTGTGAGGTTCTTGAGGGCAGGAACCTTTTTTGTTTTTTTGCCTTTCATTGTATTCCCAGTGCTTATCACAGATCTTGGCACTTACTAAAATCTTAATAAACTCTTATGGACTTATGGTGCTGTGTTTTTTAAATTAAATGTCTTCTGTTTTGATCTAATGTCTTCTGATTGGTAAAAGAAATCTGTTAGTAGGGGTTTTTTTGTTTTGTTTTGTTTTTGTCGTGGCAACTGGGGCAACTTGCTCAGAGTCATACAGCTAGTGAGTGTTATGTGTGTAAGGATAAATTTGCACTCAGGTCCTCCTGGCTCCAGGGCCACCTCTATATCCACTGCCTGCCCCAAGGGGTCCTCAAACTATGGCTTTGAATGAATGCTGAACCATACTCACATCATCCTTCAGACCTTGGGTAGCATGGTGTAATAGAAGAGTGCTGGATAAGAACTCAAGTTCCATCATTTAGTGTGTGACCTGGAAGAAGTAATTCATCCTCTCTGAACCTCAGGTTCCTGAGATTAGTTTTGGTAGAGAAGTGATGTACAGGAGCAGAATGAAAACTATATTTTCAGTCAAGATGTGGAAGAGAGTATTCTTTTTGGTGGGGATGGTGGGGGGGCAGGGACAGAATTGGTGGAGTACAGGGGGAGTAGTAATAAAACTTTTTTTTCAAAAGGAGGAGAATAAATAAAAGTAAGAGTGAATCATTTAAAAATATAGAAGACAGCAGAAGGAAATTTAAAAAAAAGACACACAAAAGAGGCTAGACATCATCTTTCAAGAAATTATCAAGGAAAACTGCCCTGATATAGTAGAACCAGAGGGCAAAATAGAAATTGAAAGAATCCACAGATCTCCCCCTGAAAGAGATCCCCAAAGGAAAACTCCTAGGAATATTGTAGCCAAATTCCAGAGTTCCCAGGTCAAGGAGAAAATATTACAAGCTGCCAGAAAGAAACAATTCAAGTATGGTGGAAACACAATCAGGATAACACAAGATTTAGCAGCTTCTACATTAAGGGACCGCAGGGCATGGAATATAATATTCCTGAGGGCAAAGGAGAAAGGATTACAACCAAGAATCACCTACCCAGCAAAACTGAGTATAATCCTTCAGGGGAAAAAATGGTCATTCAGTGAAATAGAGGACTTTCAAGCATTCTTGATGAAAAGGCCAGAGCTGAATAGAAAATCTGACTTTCAAATACAAGACTCAAGTGGAACATGAAGAGGTAAACAGGAAAGAGAAATCATAAGAGACTTTTTAAGGCTGAACTGTTGACATTCCTGCATGGAAAGAGGATATTTATAACTCATGAGACCTTTGTTAGTATTAGGGTAGTGGGAGGGGAAAAATTATATGTATGTATAGATACATAGATAGATAAATAGAGGGCACAGGGTGAGTTGAAGATGAAGGGGTGATATCTGGAGAATAAAATTAAGGGGTGAGAGAGGATTATACTAGGAGAAGGAGAAAAGGAGAGGTAGAATGGGGTACATTATCTCGCACAAAACAGACAAGAAAAGGTCCTTACAGTGGAGGGGAAACAGGGGAAGGTGAGAGGAAATGAGGGAATCTTATTTTCATAGGATTTGGCTTAAGGAGGGAATAACATGCACACTCAATTGGGTATGGAAATCTGTTTTACCCTACAGGAAAATAGGGGAGGAAGGGGACAAGAGAGCAGCGGGATGACAGAGAGAAGGGCAGATTGGGAAAGGGCTAATCAGAAGGAAGTACTTCTGAGGAGGGACAGGGTCAAAAGAAAGAATAGAATAAATGGGGGGGCAGGATAGGATTAAGGGAAATACAGTTAGTTTTTCACAACATGTCTACTATGGAAGTGTTTTGCATAACTGCATATGTATGGCCTGTATTTACTTGCTTTGCCTTTTCAATGAGGGTGGGTGGGAGGGGAGGAAGGGAGAAAATTTGGAACCCAAAGTTTTAAAAACACATGTTTAAAAAAAAATTTTCCACATGCAACTGGGAAATAAGAAATACAGGAAATGAGGTGCAGAAATCTATCCTGCCCTACAAGAAAATAGAAGGAGAAGGGGATAAAAGAAGGGGGGGGAGAGATAGAAGGGAGGGCAGACTAGGGGAAGGGGTATTCAGAATGCATGCCATCTTGGAGTGGGGGGAGGGGCAAGATGGGGTAAAAATATTGAATTCAAAATCTTGTGGAAGTAAATGTTGAAAACTAAAAATAAATAAATTTATATATATATAAAAAAGAGAGACACAGACTAGTAGGGCAGTACAGGAAGTATCACTAAGTATACAACAAACAAAAAACCCTGATTAATAGTTTCATATTATGTTCAGTTCTTTTGTAATTAAATATATGTGGATGTTTATGAAGTTTGTGATAATAAAATGAAAATTTTAAAAGAAAGAAGAAATGGCAGGTTTGAACTAGATGACTTCTAAGGTCCATTCTAAATCTCTGATCCTATGATCAAGGATTCCCACATATTAAGGAGGCCCTGGATGATACATACAAATTCAGACAATTTTCAATTGTTATTGTATTGCTTAAATGCAAAAAGTTTTAAATCCGAGGCTATCTTCCTGTCTTCCAACATTTGTCTAGTCTGCCTTTACGATCAAAGAATGGAAATTAATTCTGACATTAATACAAACAAGACATAATTAGAAAGGTAAATATTCTGAAGGAGGAAGAAAATATAATGTATTCTGAATGCAACTGCTAAAATAACTTCACATTTTCTGCCCTTCATATTTTTATGTAAATGATGGAAGCTAAAAAGGAGAATTATAGGGCTCTTAGATTGTTAACTCTATGAGGGTAGAGACCATGTCACAACTAATCTTTGAATTTTTCCCACTCAATAATGGTATAGTACTCAGCACAGAGCATTTAATAAATGTTTGTGAAACTCAACTAAATCGAATTTATTTCACCTGAATTTATTTGAATTTCACAAATATCTACATACAGGCCCACTGCAACTCTTAGGAGTCATCATTACCAGCATTACTTTTATTATTATGAAAAATTATTAAAGAACACTAAAATAAAAATTATTCAAAACAAAATATACTTAAACATACAGTTATCAATGTCAACAATAATTCATACTACATCACGTTCTTCTGATGTCTATAATTATATATTCACATGTGGATAAAATACATATTTTTCTTTTACACAGCTGTGGTCCATATGGATATTATAATTCTAGTTGGTCTTTTTTTAAGCTTTGCATTATTTCACATAGGTCTTTCCATATTTCTTTAGATTCTTCATTTTTAACATGCATCATTATGCTATATATGGATATACTACATTCTATTTAGTCAGACTAAGCCAATCTTGGGGCATTTTGTTTGTTCACAGTTTTTATTTTACATGTAATAGGGCCAAGTAATTGAAGACCTTCAAGGCCAGATTAAGCCACTTGGATGGACATCATTCTCAGATGGGGGGGGAGTCATTGAAGGCTTGGGAACAGGAGAGTGACATGATAAAAGGAAAGTTTGGTAGTGTTACACAGGATGCATAGAAGGGGTGGGAAGAACTAAAGTCAAACTTCAATTCAGTTAACAACTATGATGCGTGAGGAATCAGGGATGTCTTCTAGCCAAATGACATGCTCCCTGAATTTGTCACTTTATCTTGCATCTCTATGGACTGACACAAGCCATCTCCCATCCCTAAAATGCACCAACACTGGGAAGGCAGTTTTGAATCTGGGGAACAGCTGGGAATTTGTGAGGGAGTGGCATGAAAAAAGAGTCACATAGGGAGGTGGGGCCTTTCTTAGGGCCTTAAATGTTAGACTAAAGAATTTGTTTTTTTATCTTAGAAACACAGGAGCCACAGAAGATTTCTGAATAGGGGAATGACATGATCCCATTTGTCCTTTTGTAATCTTCTTGGGTTCCTAGGCAGCAGGAAATTGGATTGGAGGGGAGGGAAAGAGACAAGAAGCAGAGAGACCAGTTAGGAAACTATTGTAGTGGTACAGGGGAGTGATGAGAGCTTGAAATAGGGGAGTGGAAATCTGGATGTAGAAAAGGTGAAAGAGATGAGAAATGTTGAGGAAGCATAATCAAGACTTTGCAACTGATGTTGACTATGTGATGTAGGGAAAAGAAACTCAAAGAAGACTCTGAGGTTATGAACCTCAGGAACAGAGAACATAGAAGAGCCCTCAACAGAAATAGGAAAGTTGCAAGGAGAAGCAGATTTCGCAGGGAAGATGAGTTCTATTTTTTACATGCTGGAGTTTGAGTTGCCTAAGGGACTTCTTGGAAGAGATACCTAACAGGCTGTTAACTGTGAGGAACCGGAATTCAAGAAAGAGATTACAACTGGATATATAGACTTTGAAATCGGTGTAGAGATGATCCCAGAACCTGGAACTAAATGAGATCATTAAGGAAGAGAGTTTAGAGAGAAAAGACAAAGGATCCCAGGGCAAAGCCCTAAGTGATACTCAAGGGCTTAGATTTGGGTAACTGTTTAACAAAGGAGAGGGAGGAGCAGTCAGCCCAGTAGAAGGACTCTATTACCACTGATATTGATCTGGTAGAAGGGAACTTGGAGATCATCTAGTGCTACCTTTTCATTTTCTAGATGAAGAAACTAAGGTCCAGAGGGGACTAGTGATTTGCTCAAATGTATTGCAGGTAAGCTACCTGGGTCTTTCATATAATACTCATCACATACATATTCCTTTGTTGCTTGTAATAAATATTCAATGTAGCCAGCTGAACTAGACTGTGGGCCCCGCTTCACAATCACATTTTTAAATGCACAAAATAAAGAAGTAGGATTATGAAGGAAACTAGTTAAGATATAGTTATCTAAATATGATATTATGGACCCAAGTTTAGAACTTCAACTAGAATCTAGGTTTATCATCCCAACTTCCATTGCAAGTCAAGTCCCTTGGAAGATGCTACTATTTCTCCCCTCAGGGGTCTTGGGGATCTTGAGAGTGTTTTTTAATGCTATAGCTCTGGTAGCTGCCTCCTCCATTCCCCCCAGATTCTCACTTGATACCAGTCAGACTTAATTAGAGATGGGGGGAGGGAAGGAAGAGGAAAAAAAGAAAGTTATATACAACTGTTATATATTTAAAAGGAATAGCAAATTTTACATAAAAGGTTTGCAGTACATGTACAGTCATCTTTTTTTCCTCTTCTGCGTATGGAAATGCTGGTTTTATTCCTTAAGTCCAGAATAGAATAAACAAAAATAAAAATAAAAAAGTCTTAGAAACAGATATTTACTAAAAAGTGTATAGGAATAATAGTTGGTACAAAACATCACTCCCAAACCAAGGGCACACTTTCCCAAAAGTACATCGAGTCCAGGGGAAAGTGGGGGTCAAGCTTAGAAAGCAGGTATAGCAAAGGGATAACTCCCAGATCCTGGAAGTCCTTTTCTTGGAGGTCCTTTTCTCTCCTTCATGGAGCCTTCAATCAAGTTCTTCATAGACGTGGTACAGCTTTCTGCTGGGCCTCCTGTAGAGCCTTAAGAGGCTGCCTTTGTCTGTCTTTGTCCTCAGATCCTGATGCAGTGATCCAGTCAGTCAACAAGCATTTCTTAAATACTTACCAGGTGCCAGGTGCTAGGAATATAAACATAAACAGAAAGAAAGCAAATCCCCTGCCCTCAAGAAGCTTATATTCTAATGGAGGAAGACAATATTTAAAAAGAAGCTGAAAAGGGAATAAGAAGAAGACATGAAAGTACTGGGTGTGCGGGCACAGTACAGAAAGTCTAGAGAGCCAGCAATATACCTTGGAGAGGAATAAGGAAGTGGTTAGCTTGTGTGTCCTCCTAAAAATGGAGGTACTGGGAGGTACCAGCCAATCAGAAGGAAGGCCTGTATGGGCCTTTGTGAAGTCTAGAGCTGGAATGAACTTCCAGGTTGAAGAGGATTCTAGAATCTGATAGAGAAAGTCTGGAATTCATCCTGGAAAGGAGAGATACTTTTGCTAGTCACTGTTGTCCCAGGGTGATGCTAGTGATGCTACTTGAATTGTTAGAAAGATTTTCCCTAGAGCAAGCCTAAATTTGCCTATATGCAACTTATAATTACTGCTCTTGCCTTCTGGGGTCAAGCAGAACAAGTCTAATTCCTTTTCTACAAGACACACAGTCAAAAATACTTCAAGATAGTTATTATGAGAGGGTAGCTAGATGTTGCAGTGGATAGTCAGGAGAACCTGAGTTCAAATTCAGTTTTACACCAGACACTTGACACTAGCTGTATGATCCTGTGCAAGTCACTTAACCCCAATTGCCTCACTTAAAAAAAAAAAGATAATTATTATGTGCCAGAGAGATCTCGCTTCTTCAGGAGAAACATCTTCAGTTCTGTTTACTGATCCTCATAGTTTGCTAGGGAAAATACTTCGAAAACTTTAAAGCACAATATTAAGTATGGGCTTATAGCTGATGTCTAAAGTCCCTGGCAGCTCAATATTTATTCAGAACCTGCTAGGTATCAGGCTGCAAGCCAATTGTGCAGAATGCAAAACAAACATAAGATTTAGCTCCTGCCTTCTAGGAACTTGCATTCTAATTGTAAGGTCTAACAACAAGAGACAATTAGGGAACAATTGTGTATTTACTGCACCAAAGGAACAGATTTAGAAGTTTTATAGCAGACCTGTGAGAAATCAGTGTGGGCTGGAGTAATTTAAATATAAACAAGAGCTTCTTCAAAAGTAAAATTTCAAACTATCAAACATTAAAACATTTTCAAGGAAGAAAGTTTGCAAAGAATCAGTTAAGCTAAAAATTATCTCTATTTTTGCTTTATCAACATTCATGTCATTATTTTAAAGTAATCTATGACTATTTAAGAATATCACTTCATATGCAGAAACTGAAAGCAAAAGATAATCCAGTTTTACAAGAAATAAATCAGGTAACTTTGGTTCCTGCCTAGAGATCCCAATTCAGCCCAGTCCTCTGGCAGTTGCAGTAGGGACTAGTAACAAGGGGTGCTGTGGGTTGCAGCCTCTACGGTAATTAACTCCCCACCCCCCACCCCAGACAATTTGTTCAACTAGGCAGCATTTCATTCATCTTCCATTCAACCTCAATTGTGGTGCACAATGTGAAATCTTTACAACTTTATTCCTCTTTATGTGCATTTGGAAAACTATGGCATCTAGGACAGGAAGAGTTTCTCTAGGGTAGGGAAGAACATATCTTCTTGGGTACATTTTGCAAGTGCTAAATTGGATTTTGGTCTTTAATCTGGTTGATTATAACGATGGAGAATCTCTGTAGGATAGACCTCTTCCTATGTAAATATTATCAGTGAGTTTTAAGCCTAGGAACGAAACTGAGTTTTTCAACTATTCTGAATCTATATTGGGAGTGTGTGATGAGGAACATACATTATTGGACTTAATTTAAAAAAGCAGGTGCAGTTTGATATATAAGTGACTTGTATCACCTTTAATCACTTAAGTAAAAAATATTTGAATTTAAGTTTTTGAGAACACAATGCAGAGTTTTAGTATTTTTTAAAATTATCTGCCTCCCAAAAAGAGATGATTAGTTTCTGGTTCAATTACAAATTGGTCCAGTGAGCTCTGGGCCTGCAGATATTTATTGTGCTGAAATCTTTCCAAGAAAAATAAAACTTACTATTTCAGTAAGGAAAACTGTAGCCAACTTGTTTACTGAGCGACCTTTGTATCATGCAATTCATAAACGGGCCACATTTAGTATTAACAATAGAATCAGAATATTGTGACTTTGTTTTTCACTTGAGATTGTAAAAAAGAATTTAAATTTATTGAACATATTATTTAAATATCCTCTTAAAAATAAACACTGCATATTGAGCTTCAGAACCACATTTCATGATTAAATCCATTTTAAGTCGCAAATGTCTGCTTAAAAAAACATCTCAAGTTGAAGCAACTTGAGCAAGAGAACGTGACAGAGAATTTTTAAAAAAACCTTAAACGTTTCGACGTATGTAATTCTGTGTATTGCAATCTGGGCGAGTTGTTGCTATGAGAACCCTATGTTTTGCCTCCGGGCTGGTATCTGACGTTGCAGCCTAGACAACGCCGCTGCCAGTGTCTTAACTGGAGCCTGGCATCTGACTACAGCTAGCACTCCTCAGCTTCAGGAACATTAGCCTAATGGCCGATTTCCTCCCGCTCCCTGTCTAGTTGTCCTTTGAAGTCACCGCGCCACCCAGCAAGGGCCGTTTTTTGCTTCGCCCTCCTGGGGAAAGAGCAAGGGTGGGGAATGGATGGTTGCAGCAGTGGGGTAAAAAGAGATGGCTGGTTGCTTAGCCTTCTGGCGACCGCTGCTCCCCTGCCCCCGCCTGGAGACTGCGGGAGGGGCCGCCCCCGTGCGCTCCCCACATGGGAAGCTCGCCTCAAGGAGGGGAGGAAGAGGGGGAGGGGCGGCCCTAGGCTCGATCCGGGGCTCGGCAGGCCCACAGCGTCTTCTGCACGTTTCCAGCCGCCCCCCCCTTTTAAAAAAAAATCTTGCAATAAAACCGCAGCCCTGCCGGGGAGCACGAGGGAGGGAGGAAACGAGCGGGAGAGGTTGGGGCGGGGGAGGTCCCCCTGTGGAGGGCGGGAAGGGAGGGCTTTGGCGGCAATTATCTAACAATACCCCAGGGTTCTGGGGATCTAGGGCGGAGCCCACGTTTTTATTGCGGGGGCGCTGAGTTTCTATGGAGGGGTCTTTTGCGTGGGGGTTGCCCTTGTTTTCGACTGCCCCTTCCCCCCATTCCCCTGCGGCTAGAAGGACAAGCCTTCTGGAAGGCCCAGGCCCTGCCGCAGCGCCGGGCCTGGTGTTTCTCTCCATTCCCATCCTTCCCCTTCCCCTTCTGATCCAGGCGGTTCTTTCCCGCCGCCGCCCAGCGCCACCTGGCATCTCCAGGGCGACCGGGCCGGCACAAGATGGCGGACGATAAAGACAGCGGAGGTAGGAAACTGCCTAGGGAAGGGAAGGACCGGACCAGGCTTGCTGAGCGTAGCCTGAGGCCTGGGAGAAAGCATCCCAGAGCGATCCCCCTTCCTATATCCCTTTGTACGTGCCACCCGCTGAGAGGAATGGGCGTCGGGTATGGGAGTGGAGGGGAGTATGGGGGGGGTGACCTTGGCCCCGCCCAGCGCGGGAGGAAGAGAGGGAGGGATCCCTCCGTTCTCCTACCCCTCTCCTTTTTCTCATCCTCCCTCCTCCCTTCTCTTTTCCCCTCCCCCAAGCCAGGCGCAGTGCCTGAGTGCGACGCCTCGGCGCCTCCAGCCGCCCCCTCCTCCTCTTCCGGGAAGCTGTAGCGAGCCCCCATAGCCTGGGGCTCAGGAACAAAAAGATGGTGTCCCGGTGGTCTTAAGGCATATGGAGATCGCTGCGTCCGCCCACTAGGCCCCAGGTCCAGGCCTCGGCCCGGCGGGGTTCCTCGTGGATCCTCGTTCCACCTCCCGTCGCCCCCACGCGGCCGCACCAGGCCTCCCTTCATCTCTCGCTGCCTGACGACCTTTTGGCGGCACCATTTTGCTTCCCGTGGAGGAAGGCGAGGGCGGGAGGAAGGGAGGCTGCGGCGGTTTCCTCCCCCTTCTGCGCCATGAAGGGCCTTCTCGGCCGCGCCTCTCCCCTGCCCTGGGTTGTCTGTGGGAAGAAAGAGGCGGGCCGGAGACTTTTATTTATTTTGGGGGGAGAAAAAACAGCCACACTCCCTCTCCCCACGATCGTGATCGAGGAAGCGCGTTCGGGAAGCCTGGCCAGGAGGTGGGGCCGCCCGCCGCACAGGCCGCCCTTCCCGGGCGCTCCTTCCAAGCAGGCCCGAGGCTGCTCGCGCGCTTTGGCCGCAGCAGGCCTACCTCCCGCATCCCCGGTCTTGGCCCGTGCTGCTCTCGCTGCGGGCGGCCCCCATCTTCAGCTGCGTGGAAGCAGACATGTTTGCTTCTCGTCCCCCGGAGGGTTCTGGACACAATAAAAAGAAAGGCCCTAGTCTGAGAAGCCGTGGCTGCGGTGAAAAGAAGGCCCCTCACTCCAGTCAGATGTCCGGGGGGGGGGGGATGCGGCCACAAGAGACTACAGTGTCCCGCAGGGCCAGGAAAGTGCACGTTCGAGACCCTGAATCGGCCAGTCACCAGATCGCGGTACATTAACGCAACAACAAAAACCATTTTAGGGTGCCACGCTTGGAAAAAGGCTTCCCTGGCTTCCCTTAGCCAAAATCCCACCAGCATGCCTCCCCCCAACCCTCCCTTAATTCTAATGCATTAACTGTTGATTATTTCCAGTTTATTCTTAATAGTTTGTTTTTCAATAGTTTGTCAGTAGTTTCTTTTTACATCATTATTTGCACATTGTCTTACCGTTTAAACTCTGAGCTTGGGAGCAGGAACTGTTTTTTTGTCTTTTCCCGAGGCTTTTAAACACAATGCCTGCCACATAGTAGGCGATTAATAAATGCTTGTGGATTATTTAAAATGTAGTATTAGGTTACTAAACCATTCCCCTTGTATATTTTAAATATGACTAGTCCTATTGATATTGATAAATAATTCCTACCCATTTCCCTTGTAGATTGTAAACCTCTTCAGGGAATCTTTTTTGTCTTTCTTCGTATCCCCAATTCTTAGGGAATACCTGGCATATATAGTAGGTGTTTAATAAATGCTTGCTGACTATTTGAAACCTAGTATTTAGGGTTACTAAACCACTTATTTTATATTTTAGATATTACTGTAGTTCTATTTAAGTTGATAAATAATTTCCACTCTGAAAAATCCCAGCAAAGCAATACTTAGCATCTTAAAAGGTAAAAGCATGTCGTCGACATTTGTGGACCCTGAGGTGGGCTGTGAAAGAGCCCTGAAACTAGGAAAACTGAACCTGAGTCAATCACTTAACTCCCTCAAGCCTCAATATTTGCATCTGTAAAAGGACATTGGATTATATAGCCTTTAAGGCCTCTTCCAGCTCTGGATTTCTGCTGTGCCACAGAAAGTCAGTTGACACAAGTAAAGCTGCTGTAATGATTTAGCCGTTTATAGCAATGACAATATTTGGAATTAAAACAGGCCTTGGCCTCAAGGAGTTTACATTCTTTTTTTTTAACAGATTTTTTTAAATTTTAAATTATTTTTAGTTTTTAACGTAATATTCACTTTTATAAGATTTTGAATTCCAAATTTTTTCTTCTTCCCGCCCTTCCACTTCCCCAAGATGGCATGCAATCTGATATAGACTATACATGTGCAATCATATTAAACATATTTACCCATTAGTCATATTGTGAAAGAAGAATCAGAACAAAAGGGAAAAACCATGAGAAAGAAAAAAAGGAGAAAATGGTGTGCTTTGATGTGTGTTCAGACTTCATAATTCTATCTCTGGATGTGGATAGCAGGAGTTTACATTCTTAATGAAATTTATGAATATTACTATGCTACCTTTCCTAAAATAAGTGTCATTAGCTTTCAGTGATGCTGTTTAGAAAGTACAATACTACAGTGTATACATCCTAAGAAGTGACTCATTTTTATATTAATTTTTCAGCTATATCAGGAAACTGGAATATGGAATTTTAGAAGTAGAAGGGGATTTATAGTCAGCATGCTTCAGTGGAAAGAACAGTGACTGTGGAATCAAAACCTTGGGTTTGACTGTCATCTCCACCATATATGTCACAAATCCCTTAACCCTTCTAAATCTTAATTCCACTATCTGTAAAATGTGAATAATGATAATACCACTTCATACCTCCCTTTGTTGTTGTGAGGAAAACACTTTAAAACTGTAAAACACTATAAAATTGTGAGCTGTTATTTTCAATAGTCTAATCCCTTTCCTGTATAAATAAGGAATCTGACTATAAAGGTTAAATGAGTTTCCCTGGGTCTTACAGTTAGCTGGCAGTAAAGCAGGAAATAGAACCTGGTTTGGTTACTTTATTTAGCAACACTAATAGAAGTAGATACTTTGGAAGACACTGGGAAGAGATTTGTCAGCAACTGAACAGGTTAATCATGGATATTTGTGAGCTATTTTTGTTAGAGAACACTCCAAAAAACAGACATTTAACTTTGAAGCAGAGGACTTGAGAAGTCATTTAATCCTCTCTCATTCTAAAGAGCAGTAGGAAGTAGAAAGGATGCTGAATGTGTGATCAGAAGACCTGGATTCATCTCCTAGCTTTGTCACTTACTGCATACTGTGTGACCTTGTGTAAGATAGTAGACTTCTCTGGTCCTCAGTTTTGAGCTGAACAAGGTGAGGTATCTGATGGCTCTAATTTTATTATATGAAATGATTTTTTCCAGAGTAGAAAAAGGACCAGACTGGGAGTCAGTAGCTTTGGCTTCTAGGCCTAGCCATTAATTAGCAGACTTTAGGAGAGTTATGTAACCTCTTTTAGCCTCATCTCTTAAAGGAGGGGTTTGGACTAGATATCTAAGGTCAGTTCTAGCTCTAAGAGATGATTTTCCCAACCCAAACATCTCCCGATTTTTGTCCAGTGGTCTATTTTGCCACATGGCCTGCCATTTAATTAAAAAGACAAAAAACCCACAGATGATGTAATTACTGAAAGCATATGTAAATATATATTATGTATAAATATATATGAATAAAATTTGTCCTCTTAAAATAAATGAGGCAGCTGACCTATAGGCAGCTAGGTGGTAGTACTGGGCCTAGAGTCACGAAGCCTTGAATTCAGATACAGCCACAAATGTTGTGACCCCAGTCTGTCTTAATTTCCTCAACTGTAAAATGGGGATAATCCTCACAAGGTTGTTGTGAGGATAAAAGGTCATATTTGTAAAGCACTTAGTACAATGCCAGGCACATAACAGGAGCTTAATAATGCTTGTTTAGGGGTGGAGTTGGGGGCGGGCGTTTGTAGAAAGAAATATTCAGAGGAATTCTGTTAACTCCTGTGTTCCTCATTGGCTTACCTGAAGATTGGTGCATTTGAAAAAGATTGCCCCTTCTTTTGTCTGCCTTATAAAATTCTACAGCCTTACGCCAAGTACAGTGCAAACAGTTCTGGATTTAAAAATTGGAAGACCTGGACTCACATAATGGCTCTGCAGCTTAGCTGTGTGACCATGGGCAAATCACTTAACCTCTCTGGGTCTCAGATTCTTTATTTGTAAAATGAGGAGGGCCAGACTAGATGACCTGTTAGGTCCCTTCTTAGCTCTAAATTTGTGATGTGGGCTGTCAAGAGCCAGTCAGCTGCCAGAACTATGTTGGTTCCCAAGGATTCAGCTCTTTCCCTGCACCATTAAAAGCAGAGATTCAGGGATGGTTATGAGGTAGAGAGATCCAATGGGTTTTGTACCCTTTTTGTATGAATGAAAGTGGCCACTAAATCAGTTTGTACACTGTCAGCAAACCCTGTAGTAAACCTCTGTCAAAAATCCCAAACCTGACTTGACCAAGACTTAATAATCATCAACAGAAACATCAAACATATACAAACATATAAGATGAACTAACATCATGTCTGCTACTTAATTACTATTTTAGTCGTAAATGTAAAATGACTTTTTAAAAGAAAAATTGAGGAGTTAGACAACAGATATTTCCTAGGAACCTAGCTTTCTTATTAGTCCTTTCTCCTTATCTTCCTTTAAGATTCTATTTCTGTGAAGCCTTTTCTAATCTATACAGATTCTAGTACTTTCCCTCCTCAAGTTTTTGCCTTAGAACACAAGCAGTGGAAATTGTAAAGAGACATTAGGTTTATTGTTAGAACATATTTCTTAACAATTAGAACTATTTTTAAATGGAATGGGTTTCCTCAAGAGGTAGCAGGTCCTCAACTCCCTGCCATTAGAGGTCTTCAGGGTGGCTTGTCAGGTTTCTTGTAGTGGTGGGGATTCCTTCAGGTATGGGTTCCACTAGATGGTCACTTAGATGACCCAAGTCTAAAATTCTGTTTTGCATCCTCCCTCAGCAGATTATAA